AAAATATCTTTATTTTGATTTTGGTCAGTCCGTTATAAATGTTATAGTGGTCCGATCTAACAACTTTTTCTTCGAAGATTGCATAATTACCATGCCAAATTACGTGAAAAAACTCTTCAAATGATAAAGCTTTCATACAAGGACTTGATTCCAATCGTTCATTTTATATGGCAGCTGCGTGCTATAGCTTCCGACAAATGAGCAGCGCTTTTGTGAAATAATAACGTGTGCGAAACTTCAGGTCGCTTTTTCAAAAACTGAGGTACAGACACACGGTCATAGCTAAATGGACTCAGCTCGTCTCGCAAATTAATAATATTATATATACATTATCATATAATTATATTGTAGGGTCTCCGGCGTTTCCTTTTGGGTGCTACGAGCTTCGTGACAAGCTTAGTATACCCTGTTCAGGGAATAACAAGAAAAAACGTGAACTCCGGTTACACACGTGCTATATACGCTTTAGTGGTCCGATCTAAACAATATGACAGGAGACTGTAGCACTGCCCTGGCCAATAATCTTCGCCAAATTTCGTGATGATCTTTTGCATATAAAAAATTTTTCCTTACAAGAGCTTGATTCCGATCATTTAGGTTTTATGGCTTTTTGGGAAGAGTAGGACGCATGGAAAATTTCAGATCTATATTTCAAAAACTGTGGAACTAGTTCACCTATATGCAGACAGGCCGACGGACATGGCTGAATCGACTCAGCACGTCACGCTGTTCATTTATATATGTATTACAGGGTCTCCGACCTTTGCTTTCTGGGTCTTTAAAACATATTAGTAAACTTCATATGTTCAGAGTATAAAAAAAATATTTATATGAATATTGGATTCGATTAAAAGCTTCAAAGTTCAGAACTTCTACCATAATTTTCTGTAAAAAAGGATTGACAGCTCTTGTTGTATGTTGAGAAGCTGGGAAATTGCAAAGACTTCGACAATGACAATATTTAGAAAATATCTTCTATCTAGAAAACGAAATAATGTTCTCTTATAAAAAACACCTTTTATGTCTTTGAGATATCCCAAGAAATTCGAAGACCATCTGAAACGATATACTTGAAAAATAATTTAAAACAAAACGAAAGGTTTATAACTCATATAATTTGGCAATTTTCTATAGAAACTACAACATATAAGCTACCATACAACTGACAACTGACTACCATTTCGAAGATCATCCCTATATAGATGTTTCAGATTTCCAGTTCATAGAGTTAAGTCCACTCAAAAAAAAAAGCGTCCTTGGAATGTTTAAAATAAATATATTTCGATAAAGAGACGAGCTGGCGCCAACAATTAGCAACGAACTAAAAACGCTATTATTTTCTAAAATCATTTTCTATTTTAAATAAATCCAAAACTTGAACAAAATACTAAAGTCATCAGCTTATACAATGTCAAACCAAGCATATAATCGGCGGAGCAGAAATGAAAGCACGTGCATGTTAATCAGCACGCCCGCACACATACACGCACATATGCAGATAAGTATTCATGGCACACCGCATTACTGGCATTACTGGCCCTTCAGACGCCACTTTTATAACTCTTTTTGCTCCCCCCTCCGCCGGTATGCTAATGACTGGTAGTTGGCGCTGAAACTGGGCAAACTATAACCGCTTGGCCGGGCAGCGGGAAGCGGGAAACGGAAGAACAACTGTGACATTAACATTTCGGTGCACACAACTATGAAATGGTTTCATCGAAGCTTCCTCTGCACAACTAAACTTTCACCCGCGCTATTTAAACGGCGAACAGCGCATAAAAACACCAAATGCGCCCTGAAGTATGCAACGTTTTTTTGTAATTTTTTTCGACAAACTTTTTGTTTTCACAGCAACTTGCCGACAAAGCGCCAACGAAATGTAACAAATAGAAATGCGCGCGGTGTACAACGGCTCGCAAATGACTCGCTTGTGAACGCTACACCCTGCTGCCCGCAACCACTCTTCATGCGCCAGCAAATGCAGCTGATTGTGTGTGTGTTTGTTGGCAGTATTTCGTGGAATAACTTTTAATTCGAAACATTTATGCATGAAGCTGTGACGATGACGATGATGATGGCGTTGAAAGTGACGAGCTGGCAGTTGCATGCAACCCCACCATCAACATGCATACAACATGCGAGGCAAGCCGAGTGAACGGCTTAAACTCATGCAACTCATGCAGCTCATTTGTGCTTTTTGTTTTCGCTGCTTTTGGGACGCTTGTTCCATTTTTATTTTTTTATTATTTTTTTTTTTGTTATTATTTCGAAGGGGGTAAGCGTTGCCTGCTGGACAGCGAAATATTTCGAGTTGACAAAAACTGTAAATTGCATTAATAGATGCATGCGATGGCAACGAGCGGCAGCAAAGTGCTGCAACGAGTGACTGAATGCCAATTCGGTGGCTGATGTACGCTGGTTTGCTGCTCGCGGGTGAAATTGGTGGCGCCAGTGGTGTGGCGGCCACAAATGCCTGAATAATTACTCACTTTGTTCAATTTATAGTTTCATGTTACCGTTGCGCGCGAGCCAACGAGTTGTTAGCCAAATATCAGTCAACCATATGCGCCACACACACACATGCGCGTAACAGCAAGTACTTGACTAGTGTTGAAGTGTTCAAATGGTGTCAAAGAGCCTTCGGGGGAGGAGGGTGCGTGGCGGCAGGCTCAGCGCTAACCTCGCCCGGTAGACGTGGCTGCAATGTAATTATGCTGCAAGTGTTTGAGGTCATTTTAATGAATACTCAGCAGTGGCTGGCCGCTGCTGATGGACGTACAAGTTGTAAAAGTGCAAAAGTATGCAAAATAATGAGATGATTTAAAATGTTGATATGCAGCGTAACTATAATACTGCTCGTAGTTGGTGTGGCGGCATTTTTCGGTTTGCCACAGTTGCCTTTGCCAGCAACATGCGGTTCACCGAAGATGGTCGCACATTAAATGCAACAAAGCAATTATGTTTAAAGCGCTTGTGGTTGTATATGTATGTATGTGTGTGTGTGTTAGTAGTGTGCGATTGCAAATTAACTGTTAATTATTGGCGATTTTGTTGTTGTTCTCGCCTCTTTTGTGTATGAATTTCATAGTAATTATATTATTGCAATCAAATGAATTTATTTGTACGGTGTTGCCGCATTAATTAATGCAATTTAAATGCGTTTTCAATAAAGTGTTTTAAATGTTGATTGGGTGTATTTACTGCATGGTTTAAGAATAGGAAATAATTAAATATATACATATTAATATATATGTATATGAAGTAATTAATTTCTTTTGCAGAACTCCATAAAAGGGTTACAAGTACTTGATTTTGTTTGGTCAGTTTGTATGGCAGCTATATGCTATAGTGGTTCAATATCGCCGATTCCAACAAATGAACGGCATCATGTTTATCGTTTATACATATATACATGTAATAGTCATGGAGTAAAAATTGTATTTTCATTTGTCATTTGAGCCATTAGCAATAGTAAATATGGTCTAAAAGAGGCAAAGCTAAACTTGGTAGCATTCCGTATTACCAAATTAACCTTAAAGCAGTCGCGTGACGTCGATGCGACCGCATTCAATATATTTATAATATTTGCAATGAATGTTATCTTGGCGAAGATAACGATTTTAAAGGAAACTAGAGCTAAGTTATTGGTTATTTTAATTATTTAATCGCATATAGGCAACTGATTTAATAATTTTATCTTTTGTTATTTTTACGAGATATTTATAGCTGCTGTTACATTTGACTGCGCGCCCGCTTGAAGGTTAACATAACATACATATAAAATTGATTAGATAACCGCTATATTATATTAAGCCACTTTTTTTTAATATCAAAAAATGTATTTTAAAGTCAAGTGGATAAAAAGAGATCAACGTATTCACCTTATTAGCACTACGAGAAAACATGAACCGTTAGTATTTACTATTATTTAGTACAGAACGGCTGTAGCGCATATATGTCCGCTTTAATGAATTATCGTGCAATCTGAATGATAATTATCATTAATTATAATTAGACTAAAAACTCAACCAATTGGATAAAAATGTTGCAATATTCCAAACAAAGGACGACATTACGATATCATCCACTTTTGACGCCAAGCCAAGTTTGCATGTTTTCACTCATATATGTATCTTGCATATTGACTGTTATCATTGATAGAAGTTGTCGTCACGCAACATTTTAAAGATTTTGAAATTTCATACATTCACGACTCTCATATTTTCGGCGCCAAATTTCTAATTTGAAGTATAATCGGTTGCAAAGTTGCATCAGTTTAAGTGCATTGGAATAACAGCGTTTGGTGGATGCAACGATAGTCTCATTCATTCTATTTGAAACACTAACCTTACCCACTTGAGAAGCAACAGGAGTATGAATGTACTGAATAGACTTTATCATTTATTTATAAAGTCACCACTCCTGTAGTTGAATATCAGCTATCGCTAAAGCGTCGTGAACCTATCACAAGTCAGCGTAGGTGCTTCGTTTCTATTTCCCTAGCTCAGACTGACTTTTATCTGCTCATGTACCTTCGTGGAAGGTATGTGAAATGAAGAATTCGCTGGAGCAGAGGTATCGTCCCTGCTTAATTACGAATGTATCAAGGCTTGCGGGAAGGATTGTTTGAGGAGCATACTGTCGGGAATTGTCTGCTCCAGAGCACAGCCTCGTTCAGAGTAGTATTAGCTATGCGCTCAACCTCAACGTTTCCTACTCGAATGTCCCGCCTTTGTCAGATCAAACTAAGGGGAATAGAAATAATATGGGTAATCTCATTTGTGATGGGATAAGGGTGCTTTGTCTATACATATGATCCAATTAAAGGATTTTACTGGCTTCACAAATGTCAATAATAGTTCAAATGTGTTACCCATCGCAGGCAACATCCATAGAACTTAATCTAATATTCTTGAAAAGGTGTTAAATAATTTCATAGAAAAATTTTTTTACTCTCCTGTTAATCAACATAAATGGAACTTCAGATTGATAATAAAAATGTCCGTATGAGTTAAACATTTATTAGAATACATTTTGACATACCTGCCACCTTGTAGCAAAGTATCCGTTTTCTTAATGCGCTCTTAAACGTTTAAATGGACGACACATTAATAAAAGTTTATACACTCAACTGTATTTATGTGAAGTAATAAATCTGATATGGCATATATATGAGAGTATGTATAAGAGCGAGATACACTCGCTATAATATACAAAGACACAGTAAAATTGATATATTGACGCATTGAATTTCAAAGTGTTTGATTAATAGTGAATTAAATGTGCAAAATTTATAGTAATTTAAATCTCAAATGAATCGTAATCCTGTAAAGATTTTGCCAACAAACACATACACAAACAGACATACGCAGAAGCTCAGCACCGCACTAATAGAGGTCGGTTTGTGCGTTCGGCATAAATGTGGTGGTAAAGAAGTCCATCAACGCTGTGGTGTTGCCACCTTCTGTGGTGAGCACCGTATTGTAATTTGGCTCTGCAGCGTTTGAAGCATCCTTGGCCTGCTGTGCCGCCAAATTGAATTGTATCAAAATTATGAGATAACTCGTAATGCCGCCACTCACCTGTGTGGGTACAACAACAACAACAATAAATTATAGTTTTCAATTATGCATATACAATGGTTATTGAGCACGGCCACTTACGCCATAGAGCGTCTCCATGTCCAGGGTGAAAAAGCCGCAAGCAGAGAAATCAACTGAGTGATTTAGTAATTTGAGTGATAAGTGGTTGACCTATTTCGCACAGTCGCACACAAACCAGGAATGATACAATTGAGAATTTGCATTATAAATGTCTAGCTGTAAGTATGCGAAAGCTGATGGGCACTAAAATGTGCAACAACCAACAGCCTGCCGCACAACAATAGATGAGCACTTACAATTTCATAGAGCAAATTATTGTCGGCCACGACGCCGCACTTGTGCAGGCAAATGCCGGTGCGTTTAGACTCGAGCGACGTCTTCCAGCTAAGGTAAATCAAATAGATGCACTTGCCGGCGGTGTAGCTGAGAAAAATTGTCGTTATAGTGGCGCTCTTCGCGGAGCGAAACAGCGACGGAATGGGCTGAAAGTAAACCAGTGTTAAGAAAGTGCAGAAAGAATCGCATCTTTTCTTAGGCCCACCCACTTCTTACCTGATTTTGTGTGGCGCAATACAAGAAATACAATTGTGCCGTAAAAATTAGAAATCCGTAGGCCATTAGTACCAATATCGGATAACTCCAGAGCTCATTCACCAGTTTGCCAATTTCGCAGATTTCATCATGTAATTGACACAAATTATTTAGTTTCTCCTCCACCTTTTCGATATCCTTATTCAGTTCGCTTTCGTAGACCATATTAAATGTGGGCGGTTGGCTGATGAATTTTTGCAGCTTCTTTGGTGTCTCCAGAGCATCGCCGAATGAGTTTAGGGAGTGTGCGACTACGATAGAAAAATAATAATTCAACATTTAGAATAATTATAATGGTTTTTAGAAGTGTTTTGATTTTCATTGATGACAAGAAGAAAATAGTATATGGGATTGTATTGCCGTTAGTAAAGACCCAATAAACCAGTCGAGCCTAAATAAACAAAATGGATCCGAACTAGCTAACATAACCCAAAAATATTTGCAAACGTATTTCTTGTAGATCAAAAATAATAACAAACCCCAAAAGGGGGATTTACTCTAAGCGATAAAGCTTTCTTTCCCTCTCTGTAACATTTTTTACTGACAACACAACGTTTCCGTTGGTCGAAAATCAATTTTGAAATATTTATTTGGCAGAAATACAATATATTTCTATGAACAATAGATTTGCAGAACACTTTGAATTTGGTTTTAATGTAAGGGGTTAAAATGAAACTGCTATCATAAAAAATGTCTCCTGGCTCCATACAAATCTGTTTTCTTAAAATAGTTGATCTACCTTTCGTGAACATATTTTCTAATAGAAATAGTAAATACCTTTGAGCAACGACTTTTTTTTACAAAAGCTCCAAATTGGTTAGGTTTCGGAATTTAAAAGATTAAGAATGTGAAAGATTCAGAATGTGAAAGCTTTGGAATATAAAAGCTCCTGATTGTGAAGCTTCAGATTGTGAAGGCTTCGGAATGTGAATGCTTTAGAATATGAACGCTTCGGAATGTAAAAGATTCAGATGATAGCTTCACAATATGAAAGCTCCGAAATGTGAAAGCTTTAGGTATTATAACACATACATTGAAATAAATAGCGAATGCATACATAAAAACGTGAAAAAATGGTTGGGCGAATGTAATATATTGAAAAATTACTATAAAATATGCGAACCCTCTCATTTTATGGCCTTTGCTAATGTCACTTTTTTGAACTTGCAATGACTTCATGGCGCATTTCCCGAAGCAGATTTTACAGTTTCGAAAACAAAAAAATGTCACAGTCAGCAAAATCAGACTATTTATTGACTCAGCTTCAACTGCGCGCAGTTTAAGTGGAACCATTTAGCAGCGCTGTATAATTAGGTCTGTTTTTGTTTGAGGAATTAATGCGAATAAAACTAATTTTTATACGCCGAATTTTATTGCAAATAGTATATTTTGACTCTAATTTCAGACTCATAGATCATATTGTTCCATATGACCTCAGATATAAACAGTCAACATTCGTTTTCAATTTAGTGTCCATTATAAAAAATAATTAATTGTCAGTAGATGCCGCTGTAGTAAAGTTAGGGTTACCCATTATCTTTTACTAAATGGTCTGTAGATTTTTAATAACCAGCCCTACTATATCTTTCAATACCACATTGTCCGTTATTGCGTAACCGTATACAATATCAAAATGAGTCAGTTAGCGGAGGTAATTAATGACTTGTTCAAACATACTTAATTTAGTTCAAGACATTAGTGGTTGACAGCTGACTGAAACAGTTCTTATTGTTATTCTTGAATCCTCCATGTAGATTCCGTTTTGTGATTCCGTAATTTATTTTCTTATTCTTAATATTTCGTATTGAATAAGCAATTTTTATTGTTGCATGGATTATTTACCTTAATTGATTGTAATAGCAATTATAGAAAATTTGTTTATAGTGCTATTTAATGGTGATTTCAGAACAATTGTTAATAAAACGGATTAGATTTTCTGAATCGAACAATTAGTCGATTAATTATGTCAAGCAGGAGAGGTAAAAATATTTCTTACACTCTCACTTTGTTAAACTGTAAGCATTTTCAACTAAATTTGGCAAGACTATTACCACCCAAGCCTAAGTCATTAATAGATGAGTATTTAAACAAAAACTGCCACCATTTCAATAAGCCACAAATAATACATCAACTTAGTACTTACTTGGTGAAATTTTATTCCTCGCCATATTGTACGCCTTAACCGCCTCCATGTGGGTAAGCTCTTTATACAAGTATTCCAGTGCCGGATCGATTGAGACATTCGCAATAGATGGTCTTCTAAAAACCTGGCCGTCACCACCGTTTTCGGTCCAACGCTTAAGCTTCTCATGCGACTCAACCATGTCTTCGAGAGCAGTATTAATCACAAAAAAGCGATGCTTCAAAGCGCTCAAAGTGTTTGCAAACCAAATTTTGTCCAACGAATTGTAAAGTGTTGGAAAACAAGAAAACAGCCACAGAATCGACTTCCAGTCAGTGTAATTAACCAACGTTATATAGGTGGATATCAAAATGATTAGCTCACAGACAACCGTGAGTACGACCATTAAGAGTATACTTTTAGCTGTCTTAGAGATGTCTACGATCACATTCTGCTTCATTAGCTGTTCGTCAACGGTGCGAATGCGTTCGTAAAGCTCGCCGATTTTTGACTGATTACGTAAAGCCGACAACTGATCGGTAATCATCATGCCGAGACCGATGTACGTGAGAAATATGCCAATAACGAAGGTCAGCGTGCCTAAGGGGTGGTGCGTTATGCTTTAGCTAATTGTACATTTAGTATACAAGCATATTACTCACTTTGTGAATTTTTCAAATTATGATCCTCCCCCGAAAAAAAGTAAATGAGCGAATTGTAAAAAACAACAACAGCAAACATAGTGACAATAACAATCACAGTGCCAATTTTGCTGCTTTGTAGCACGTGTACGCTTCTGAATGCCTGCAGGTCATACGGATAAAGGCCGAGCAGCTTGCAGAATGTAAATAGGGTGCCGAAATGTACCAGTATCGGTTGCACTGTCTGATGTGCCATTCTCCCCTCTTGTTCTCTATTTAACTTATGTATTTCTGAAACTTTTTTCGAGCGCGCTAAAATCAGTCAACACGTCGAAGTACAAATTGCGAATGCGTTACGTCTAACGGTGTAGCAAGCACTAGCCACAGCCCTGTTGAGCAGGTTGCTTGGTGCCACCATGCGCTGGCAGGCACTTAGCATTATTAAATGCATTTAATATGCACACAGGAGATTAAGGATAACAGACAGCCGCTCGGTCGGCGGAGAGGCTGTCACTCAGGTGGCCAGTCGAGCGGCGTTAATGTTTTGGGAAATAACAAAACATCTACTGCCGATCTATAAATAATTGCGATTATCAACGGAAATTATGACGAATGGCCGTGACAATACGACTGTATGTACATAAATTAAATAATGGAGCGCATAATGCATTGCCGCATATTTAATTGTGTTAAGAGTAGCAGTTAATTAATATTAATTACAAATCGATCGGTATAAAAAGTGCAGATTTTTTGATGAGCATTTAATTACTGCGCAATAAAAATAAATTTAAAATGTTTTTTTTTTGTTGTTTTCAAAAGTCATTTATTTAATAAAGTGTCAATGGAGGAAATAAAGAAGAGCATCTGTGGCCGCATGGATGTGTTTAGAGCCCATTTTAATTTTTTTTGTAGTCAGATTTTATTAATTATTGCATTTTTTCTCATGGCAGCTGATTAAAATAATTGCATGCCGAGCAAAATAAGGTGCACAAATTAATAATTAATATTCCCTATCTTCCGGTTTGCAAAACAAGAGAAGGGGCGCGCATGATATATGAAAATTATTTATTTTACTTTTATATGCACAGTCGTGAAATAGGGTTTAAGTATTGAGGTCAAAAAATGTCAGCAATGGAAATAAAGTAGCTATTTATAAATTTATTATTTGTGTTCGCATAACAGCCGGTTTTACGACACCGAAATCGATCCGGATTTTATTCGGTCAAAGGCTTTTATATCGGCGACCTAATCCTTAACTCTTAATTCAGAGAAAAACCAACATCTATTTGACATCAACACAGCAGAGAGTAATTTTTAACAAAACTGGTTTTACCAGTTTTCTTGATATTTTCAGCATTACCTTCACGCAAGAAATAATAATTTAATCTTACAAAGAAGACTAAGACTTCAAACTCTGAAAATATGAAGGTTAACCAAATCCAGTTCGTATGTAAAAGAAATTAGGCTTCGACATCTTCATAAGAAAGTTTGAAACTATTTTTTCGAAATTATAAAACTGTGTTAATGAATTAGTCTCACCAAGGTCGTAAATAAATAAAAGGTTTAGGTACTAACACTAAAGTATGTTGCTGTGGGGCCATAATGTATCGTCAAATTACATTAAAGCGTTTTGACGATATTACAATCGTCGGTGGAATAAAAATCCAGGTCCGTGCCGATTTGCCATAATTTCACCAACTTAATATATGACAAAAAGTCAGCTAGCTGAGTATAGCCTTACTTTACTTACATATTCTTTCTAGTAACTTTATTGCTTTTATTAACATTTTAGCCGCATCACATTATTATATTTCATTTATTTCAATACATTTTATATATGATATATAAAGAAATTGTGTTGCAGTGTGCCATGTCGTATACGTAATATATTTTGGTGCATTTCTTCACCCAGCGCAGATAAATCACAGCATTGATGTATTTATTCATTACGCACACTCTTCACATTGAAACTCTTCGCTACACTTCAAACTTTTTTCATTAACAGTTAAGCGGCTTCAAAAGCTTCGAGAGTGCGCGCACACGCTCCTTCTCAGAGTTTCGCTGCTTTGGCTTTTTGTTTGCAATTTTCACTCTGTCAATGAAATAATTTAATTCAATGCATTTCGATGAATTCAATGCAAACGACGAACTTCTACGAGTGCCACGCCAAATTAATAATAATAATGCAACTCACTTTCAACGCGCGATGCTTGATATTAATTACAATATTGCTGATTGCATGCAACGCTGCTGCAAGTCCTTTGTGAGCGCCAGCAACCTTGGTGAATATGGTCTAGGGTATATGTGGGCCAAAATATTTAAGTTTTTGTATGTCAGTGTGTTTGGATGCGCCTATCTGTACTCTGTTAATTAATGTAGTAATTACTTGAAATGTTGCAGAGAACAGTGAGTGCAAGCGGTTGTGTTGCAGAGAACAAGGGATCTTGATTAATAAATAATATATAATTCTACTTTCGTGCTTCTATTATGTCCTCAACATCAATATTTTCCTTTCATATTTTCAGATCAGCAGCGCTGTAATTGAGAGCATCGTAACGTGGTGAAAAGAACACTCCAAATAAGCGAGCAGTGAATCCATACGTAATTTCAGCGTCAATAATGCATTTTTTCTAGCAAAGCTGGTAATATCACATTAGAGCCGAGTAACCTTAAAGTCAAAACGTCAAAATTAGTTAAAATAGAAAAATCTTCACAACACAACTCGCTACTCTAAGCGAGCGACTGTGCGCGTTACTGCCAATCGCGACGACGCAACACGTAGTAGTCATTAGTGTGTGAAACTCGAGTAGCAGCCACAGGATATCAGACAGCAGACGAGACAGCTGAGAGCAATTGGAGGGCGTTTGGTGTGCCGCTGGTTGTTGTTCGACAATCGAATCACAGTCAGACACCAGCGTAGCGCTTGCACGCGGAGTGGACGGTGTTGGCGTCTCTGCGTGCGTTATTCTACGTCATATAGCGCTTAGTTCGCGAGCACGTGGCACAGGCAAATACAGACACGAGCGGGTAGGATCTGGTGACCGTGACGGCTGGTAGGCGGAGTGACACATTTATTTTTTTAGTTTGATTGCAACGACATGGCCTGCGTAAATTGTGAGGTATGTGGTAAATTTATGAATGTATACTGTATATGCATGATTTAATATTAAGTGCGAAATAATTCTTTAATTATTATTTCAGTGGTATATAAATATTTATTTTGAGTGTTTGATTTAATAAAGTTTATTAAATTAAATTTAGTTTTTTATTACAATTTATGAAATTAAATTTAATAAAATGTGTATCTTTATTATTAGATTTTGAAAGTTACTATGAGAAGATGTTGGCTTAAGGTGTCAATATCCAAACATCTAACCTCAATGTAGACTTAATATAACGTCAAAAGTCATCTAAAAATAAAAATTCAACTATTTTGCTATTACCTGTATTCTGTGCGCCAAGCATTAAAGAGTAGCAAATCGAACAAACAATACAATTTATTTGAAAAAAAATGGCAACCGTGCAGTAACGAAACTTATGAGCATTCGCAATTAGGTTGCGCTTCCTCTCTTGCATAGAAAAATTCATGCTTACTGCGCCAAAAACGTTTTCGTAACTCTTTAGTGGCGATTAATTTTTTTTTCAATTTAATTTGTTTTTTTTTTGGTCAAGACTTAAGTCTTTAATATTATATATATAGTTTGAGCCATTCACAATGGTAAAACTGGTCTAAATGCAGAGGCATACGCATATACTCTCTTGGCGAATTCAACTCGTTAACTTTGTTGCTGCTTTAATATGTATTTTCGACAAGAGAGCAAAGTGCAGAGATAGAGACCAGAGATGTGTCGAATCTAACACAGCTATTATATAGATAAACTTTGATATTTCGTATATAAAAGAGTGTTTATAATTTTGTAATAAATATATATACCAACATGTAGAAGACTGCTTTCTTTAAAGGCATAATTGCTATGCTAATCTAATCTTTAAAATAAAAAAAAATAATAATAATAATTACAAACACTTTTATAAATATGTGTCGACAAAAAGTTGACTTTGAATATTTTCTTTAATATATTCTTAATTATATTACTAATGAGTGTTTTTCGGGGTACATTTCAAGCGAATCTAACTTCGAAAATGTAGTTGAAATTTTAACTCATAAAATGACATGACAGCGAATATAAGGGGAAAATACTGCAAAAGTTTAAAAAAAATAGAAATATTTTTCGAGTTACATGCGATTTTCGACGATGCTAAAAAACTATGAATAAAACCTAAAAAAAAAATATTATGGGAATGGGTCGGAAATTGACAAAATGGCGTTGTTTAAAAAAAATTTTATTTTTCCCAACATTTTAATAGTTTTTGAAATGTCAAACCTCCATTTTTGATCAGATCCAAAAAACAAGTGGATTACTAGATTTGGAAAGCTATATACAAAACATGCTAAAAATATTTGATAGTAATGATTTGTAAGCACTCAAAAAAATTTAAAAGTTATTTATGTGAAAAACGCATGTTGAGATAAACTGTGGAGGTAAGTTATTCGCAATCTATCCAAATTTAAAAAAAATCGATTTTTTTAAATTTGCCGCTCTTAAAAGTTATATTCCATGGATGTATCAACTGCCAAACTACCTCTCAAAGTAAGCAAATATTTTTGAAATTCACTACAAGTATTCTTATCGTTTAAAACTGAAAACGTTGACTAGATTACCAATGTCAATGATAATTAATATAGAAAAAGGTTTTACCAAGATGGTGGAAATTTTCAACTTATTGTTTTTTCGGTATAGAAATATCACAAAACAGGTTTAATATTTTGCCAAACTACAACTTTTTATGACGTGTGTTGGTGACAACACCGATATGTTGTTGTATGTTCGAAAAAATAGGCAATATTTCCGAAATTCTATTCAAACTCTAAACGCCAAAAATTCGGTACATATTAATATCGTAAGTTCGGTATTTAAATTCGTAAGTTTTGAAAAGGTAAAATTTCGTGAATATATCTTGCCAAATAAGAAAGTTCTCCATACAATAACTTAATTTTTATCGGTCAGTTTGTATAGCAGCTATATGCTATAGTGGTCCAATATTAGAGCTTCCGACAAATGAGCAGCTTCTTGGAGAGAAAAGTACGTGTGCAAATTTTCAGATCGATATCTCGAAAACTGAGTCTACGTATATTTTTAAAGAGGCAGATGGACATTGCTAAATCGATTCAGCTCGTCATGCTGATCATTTATATATAATATATAAATATAAATATACTTTTCCGGGGTTCCGACGAGAATAATTATAAACCGTTTGACGGAAAAATTTAAGAGTTTTTATATTATAAAACTTAGAAAGTGGAATAATTATATAATTTTATTAAAGGTTATTATTATTAAAGGTTAAACACTTACTAATGAATATATCGTAAATAATTTTATACCAATAAATTTAACGCTGTAGAATTCAAAGAGAGTATGCAGGGCGATAGGCATTTCTAGATAAAACTTTTTATTCAAATTTGCGACCTCACTTTTGATCAAACGGTGAACAATGTATAATTTGGTTGTACTCCAAGGCTTATCTCCGATATGGGAATCACGCTTAAGCCGCTAAGGACAAATCCTTTCTAAAGAAAAAGAGAACTCTTCTAGTAAGATCTCGGGTATCGAAATCAAACTTCTTGAAACCATTTTAAATTTACATGAATGTTATATTTTTATTCACACTTGTTACTGAATGGATTAGGGTGTGAAATCCGATGTGTTTCAGACTTGAAACACTAAAAAGCTAGAGTCTATAGAGCATGTGTTGATCAAGGTATTAGTAACTCCCTCAAGAATCACTTGACTTACACATGCAAAGTGCTAAAATATTATCGGACGACATCATTACTCCTCCTGGATGCCAATTCCGATTGTGTACAAATTCAACATGTGGATGCATTTCTGTTTTTATTGTTTTGAGGTCACATGTACAAGTGTTCTGTATCCCAACATAAAAGACAATAACAACAACAAAAAAAACCCGAAAAGCGTAAACAAAATTCAAATGTACGTGCCGCTCGGAGTATTATCATTGCATATCATAACAATCAATAGAACAAAGTAACACAATGGGGACAGGATTGTTGATAAAAGAGGGGTAACATGCGGCAAATCTTGCTGATTGCACAACAACAGTAACAAAAACATTTTCAATGCTTAACAAACAGGCGCATGCCACAAGGACTGTGCAACAGCAACATGCGGCGTGGTGACAAGCAGCAGCAACAATTCAAAAAAACATCGTTAAAAGCAATCGAAAATGCAAAATAACACACCAACAAATAAGAGCAAGAACAGGTTAAGTAATATTTACAAAAACATGCAACATGCAACAACGAGTGTTGCGGAAGCAGTGATATTGGTATTGGTAAATACTAGAACTGAACGATGATGCACATACCTTACACAGATCAAGCACATGAATGCTGAGGCGAACTTACATACTAGTTAATGACAGCTTTAGTTCAACAAATGTAGAAATGTAGATATTTAGCAGAGGTCTTCAATGTTCTCTATTTTGCTAAATAAACAGGCAAAAATATTAACTTCGATGGCACCGAAGCTAGAATACTCTTCATAAATAAAGGAGTTTCAATACAAGAACTTCGTTTTGATTGCGCCATTTGTATGGCAGCTATATGCTATAGTAGTCCGATATCAGCGATTCCAAAAAATATGCAGCTTCTTGGTGAGAAATGTATGTGTGCAAAATTTTACATCAATATCTGAACAACCGACAGACTAAGTTCCGTATATACAGACGATGAGACACACCGACTAAATCGACTCAGCTCGTTGCGCTGATCATGTATAATCCTACTTTATAGAGTCTCCGACGTTTCGTTCTGGTTGTTCAAACTTCGTAACAAATTAAATATATCCTGTTCAAGGTATAAAAATACAATAAAAGCTTTTACTGCGTTGGTATGGAACAACCTCCATTACAAACTTACCCTCAAATTCCCACCAAGAAGTTTTACAGCGGACAAATATAGATTTCCAAAAATGTGTTTACTTGTTTTTATTAATATTATAATGAACGCCTTGCAACTGAGGCCAATACGCTTATTCAAATACTGAAAGCAGGTATATATATAAACCTAATCTCCACTAATTAATAATATGTCTTAAAGCCATTTTAACAATATAAAACTCTGAACTTTTGTTTACAAAAGAGTATTTTTTATAGTTTTTTAAAGTGGATATGGCTATTTGACTTCAAGGCATATTCCACATACTAATTACCAACCAAACCTCAAACAAAATTTTAAGACATACTCAAAAATGCTTGTAGTTGATGACAAATTCATTCAAAATCCGATTTTTTTCCAATATCCACCAAAATCCAGAAAATAAGCCCGATAGATTTCTTTAAACGTCAAACTCTCCGAAATAAAAGCTCTAAAACCAATAAAAATAATAAACAACATTTTTTGTACTAACTAGCTCTGAAGTTTTGTTTATAACCTCAATAAGAGCTCTGAAATTTTCTTTACATGTTTGTAATTACACGATAGAAAACTTTCTCAAAATATATACCTATAATATAATAAGCGATCTATATTGCTAGTTGCATTTCAAACAAACCTAACCTCAAAAGCTTAGCTAAAAATGCTTCAATGAACAGATAGTTTTGAAACCTTTCGGTAGTTGTTCACGGTATTTTATAATTATTATTTGCATTACAGTATACATATATCATTTAAAATTATTAAATCATAAATAAAAACCCGAAATATAGTAATAAATCTAACCTCGAAAGCATAACCTCGTAATAAGCAACTTTAAAATTTTTACATAATATTTCGAAATTAGAACCATATTTTCAACATTCCTTCTTCAGAAGTTTCAGCTAGTTCGATAGAGATAATCATTTGATTTCTTGCATCCTAAAGGTATGCTACATTCTTAAACCCTGAACAGAAAATATTAAGTTTGCCACGAAGTTTGTAAGACATAGAAGGAAACATCGGAGACCCTATAAAATATATACATAAATGGTCAGCATGTTGAGATGAGTTGATTAAGCCATGTCCGTCTGTTCGTCTGCCCGTCCATCCGTCCATCCG